CAGTTGGAGCTAAAAATAAATAATCCAATTTTTTTTTTTTTTGTGTAAAACACATCATATTTACACAAAATAAATAAATAAATAAATAAAAATACAAAACGCTTGAAAATGTTCCAAGTAAAGATAACAAAAATCACATTTTGCATTCACACACCCTCTTTGTTTTTCTTATTTATTACGTTATTGATTTGGACAAGACTTGCCTACTATGGGTGAGTAGGTCATCAGACTGTTTGGTGATGTGATTCAATCACGAATGTACAAATAGTCTGTAATTATAAAATTTGAAAAGTGATAAAAAAGGAAATCAGAGAAGGTGACAGAATTTATTTAAAAAAAAAAATTATTATATTTATTTATCACTTTCCTGATTTTGTAATTACTGATTATTTATGCATTTATTATTAGACTACATCAACAATTAGTAGGAATGATCTACTCACCAATAAATAGGTAAGTCTTGTCTGATTGATTTTGTAATAAATACAATATACGCACTTGTAAATCTTATCCTTTTAAAAATTAAAAAAATAAGTGTTGAAAAGCAAACTCAAAAGGTTATTATGAGATATGATTGATAATTTTTACGAGTGCTTCTTTAAATTAATATATTTAAAATATGAAAAAGTGCACAAGAATTATTTTATAACGAAATACCTTAAAATAAAATTATAGTTAATAACATTTTGCATTCACACACCCTTTTTGTTTTTCTTATTTATTATGTTATTGATTTGGACAAGACTTGCCTACTTAGGGTGAGTATATCTAACTAACTGTTTATGTGGTCCAATCACGAATGTACAAATAGTTCGTAATTATAAAATTTGAAAAGTGATAAAAAAAAAATCAAAATTTGGAAAGTGATAAAAAAAAAAAAAATCAAAAACTGTGACTGAATTTATTAAAAAAAAAATTATTATCCTTATTTAATATTTTTCTAATTTTCTAATTATAAATTATTTATATATTTATTATTGGACCATATCTGCTGTTAACAGGGATACATACTCATCAATAAATAGACATGCGGTTAACAGGGATACATACTCATCAATAAATAGACATGCCTTGTTTGATTGATTTTGTAATCAAGGACAATACGCTCATTTGTGAGTAAACCTCATCAGTGCTGAGAATAAGTACTCAGGGTGAGTTAGTAGGTAAATATGGTCCAAAAGAGTAACAGTTTGAAAATGAATCACAAAAGGTTTAGTATGAGAGATGATTGACAATTGTAATGAGTGCTTCTTTAAATTTATATATTTAAAATATGAAAAATTGCGGAAGAATTATTTTATAACAAAATGCTTTTAAATAAAATTATAGTTGGTCAAAAGTGATAGTCTAGCAAAGCAATAAAGAGTAAGGAACTTGATTTATGTGTTTCGCGGTATAATCCATGTGCACGGGAAAAGAGAGACTAGGGAGGTGGTTTTTATTCGTGGTGTCTCACTGGAGATCATAAGTACAGTATATCTATAGTATTGCTCCAATCAAGTAAAATTAGTGGAAATTTAAGAAAATCACTATCAATTACTCGTTAGAAATTTTTTCTTTTAAAAATTCTAATCATATGTTTTATAACATTCCCAAATTATCTCAAGCACACACTATTAATAAATAAAACACATAAAAACACACATAAACTAAACAAAATTTACGTGGTTCGACAAATTATCTACGTCTAGGATGAAGAACGACTATATTTACAAAAATGCTTATATCTCTTAATCCAATGGTTAAAAAAGAGTGTTCATGTCTCTTGTCATGAGAGAACTCTCATGGTGAGCTCTCGTATCTAACCAATGAATTAAAAGATTGATTAAATGACTCATTTAACTTTTTGCACATTTCAAAAAAAACTATCTTAACCCAATGGTTAAATAAAGAGTGTTCATGTCTTTTGTCATAACACGGCTTTCATGATAGCATTATTCTACTTTTACTTTAATATTTTGGTTACACACTCTTTCTCTTATTGTAGACCCAATTTTTTTTTAAACACTAAATTCAAGTATATATCATATCAATAGTTCAGTGGATTAGTGTTTTCGGTAAATTTTGAAATACCAAGTTTCAACTCTCTGCATCTATTAATCTAATTTCTAATCCTTCATGGCGAAGCTTTTAATGGTCTAACCTGGGCTATAGCCCAGGTCCAATATATATATATATATATATATATATTTAAATTAGTTTTACTATTCTTATTAGCCCAGTCCATATGTAATTAATTTTTAGTACTGCTATTTTTCTCTTCTTATCAGTCTAATCCATAGTACTACTCTTCCTCTTCCTATCAGCACAATCCATATGTGATATGTAATCAATTTTTATTACTCTTCAACCAATTCCTCTCAACATGCGGTGGTATTTTCCCTTATTTGCCTGTTTGGGGGTCTAGCAAGAAAATTGTAGAGACTTGAGATGGGGTCTAATTTCTCATTCTTTTGAACAAATATAGATAAAAAATCAGTGAAGAGAATACGTAGAAGAATAAGAATCTCTTCGAGATCAGGAAATTCTATTTACATGTAATTTTTAATTTTTATCTCCTGAAAAACTTGATTTGATATATGAGATCATAATTTTTTTTTTTTTGGATCTATTTTTGAATATATATAATATATCTTTATTATAAGAATTATTGTGTTTATATTTAAATTTTTTTATTATTTTTAATTCCCTTCTTTGCAATCCTGACTCTGCCTCTAGGGCCTTGTAAAAAGAAAAAACAAGAAAGAAAGTACATATCATATCAATAATACTTTAATGTTGTCACTGCTAATTGATTGCACTAATTTAATACAATGGAAATTAATGTCATACATGTAAAGATATTTATTATTATTTTATGATTTTTAATTTTTTTTTTTAACAAGATAAGAAGGGTTAGAAGTTAGATTAGTAGGTATAAAGAATCGAAGCCGGATACTCCTAAAATCTATCGGAGGCACTAATCACTGGAGTATGGAGGCATCTGCTATGACTTTCAATTCAAGTATACTGTTGCATGAATAAGAATTCACAGGAGCCGGTAGTTGACAATTTTTGTTTGTTTTTTTTTTTAATCATAATCATGTTTGTATTATTTTTTCGTTACTCAGTTAAATACATTATCCTTCTATTTTGGACTATTATTCTGTCACTTTCATACATTCATCACTTAATTTAACATTCATTTCTCTCCAATATTCTAAAAAAATTATTTTATTTTAATAATACATAATAGGAGAATTAGATACATGTGATTAAAATTACGTGAGTAAGTAATGATCATATAAGTTCATAACATCATCTACCATCTCCGCTTACACAGATATATTCAACTTTCAGTATTTTTGTTTTATTTATCTAATCATCTTGTGTCATTTGTTTGAGAGAGAACTAATAAGAATTTGTCACAAGAGATAGAGAGAAACAAGCACAGTCAAGAAAGATAAGTAGGAGAATTTCAACACCAACTTCAGTGGTGCAGAGATATAACTTTCACAATTGTTCTTGCAATATTGCTATTTTTCAGGCCCAAGGAGAATTAGTGAATGGCCCAATCCTCATTTAATTAGACAGAAGTCTATTAATCCAACTAAGAGAGAGAGCACCACTCACTCGGATTAGTTGGGCCAATCTAAACTTTTTTATTTTGGATTTATTTCCCTGACATTCCATCAAGTTTGGGTGTTTGACCAAATATCATATGGAAATACTTTTCAAAAATTACTATTACTCACACCCCAAATCACCACTGGATGTGAAATGACCTTTTTATCCTCATTTTTTTAAAGCCTTTTAATATAAAACATCATTATTGTATAAGGACAAAATTACCCCCATTAATTATCCAACTACACCAATATAATTATATATATATAAAGAATTAGGGTGCGCGCACGCATATATATATACATATATATGTAAATAATTAGTGTATGAAGAATTAAGCGATCTATATTCTAGATTTGGATTTAAACAAATTTCTTGTAAAATTATAAATATATATACATACATATATTCTAATGGGTATTTTGGTCACTTAACATGGGTCCAATGGGTCATTTTTTACATCAAACAACCCTTTAGTAAGTTAACAAAAAATCAAAGGGGTAAAAATGCCTTTTTATATATAAAAAGTGGTTTGACACGTTTGAAAAAAATAATTTTTGGGGTGTGAGTGAAAAACGGACCAAACATTTATAATGTGAGTGATAATTATTTTCAAAAGGTATTTCAATGTGATATTTGGCCAAATTTTAAGGGGTGTTAGTGCATTTAACCATTTTATTTTATTTTTAATCTTTTGGACAATGATGCTGTTCATCAAGATACAATTTTTTAAAATGGGTGTCATTCTTACACTGTGCGCTCTCCTGCTCTCACGCTCTACTCTTAGTATGCGTGACTTAAATTTTACCGTTGTCGTATTTTCGCTCTTGCTCTTCCTTTGTAAGACTTACATGTCACTCAGTTTAATTGTAATCGCATTCATCAAATGAATTAAATTAAAAGGCTTTTATAGGTCAATTTTCACATCGTTTGAAAAAACATAGAATTAATCAACTAAAATTCAATTCCATTGATTATTGCATGTATTCCATTCTTTAACATCATAGAAAAATTGGTGAAATACTAATTCAAAATCCTATATCTACTTCGAGAGACGAGGTCAAATAAGCTCAAGATAATATTTCGTGGTAAGCTAGCTCCGAAAAAAATTATGCTCCATGAGAGTGTCCTAATATAGCTATAACCACAAGCACATGTCAAAAGCTAATAAGCATGACACGTATCATGTAACTATGGTCTTAACACCTCTATATAGCTTCACCATTTGTTTCCCAAGAAATGAAGACGGATATATGAGAAGAACAAAGAGAAGTTAGTGAAGGTTTTGAAGTGTTTGGTTACTAGGAAAAGTGCATATATGTACCATATATATATATATATAGTTTTAATTTTTAGGGTTTGAGAGGAAGATATATATATAAGAGGGAAGAAGGATGTCAATGCTAGGAAGGAGCATAGCAGCTCCATTGCTGATTCTTAATTTCATTATGTATTGTGTTGTGTTGGGTTTTGCTAGTTGGTACCTTAACAAGTTAATCGATGGCCAAACTTACGGTAAGTATAGACCCTCCAAGCGCTCTCTCTCTCCCCTTGAGTCATTTCATTTAAGAATTCTCTTGGGTTAATGTACTAATGCAACCATTATATATTCCATAAGGAAAACTCTAAGACAAGCCCAATTTTGCTTAATGTGAGAAATTTTTACACAGTCGAAATTACATATTTCTAGTCAATCACAACTTGACACATAAACAAATGTGTTAATTTTATTAAAATTTTATTTTAGGTTTCAAATTGTGATCGATCGAAACCATGTTATAATTTTTCTATGTGAGAGTGCATGATGATTGTTGGGTGCACATGGTGCTGTATTCATCTGCTTTCTCACTGATTTCAACTTGTTTATTAAAGTTCTTTTTAGAAATAAGTCAATGCTCGGGTGCTCATGATGAGCGTGCCCTCTTAATTGTTGTGTCGATAAGTTTCTTTTGATTCAATAGACGAGGTAAGGGACCTCATGTGGTACAGGGTATCTTGTGCCGCTAACACAGCATATTAGATCGTATACGTAATGTAATACATTGATCACGCAACATGCGATGTAAAATTATTGCATAAGCAATTTAAGGTAATTGTTGTATAAGTGATCTGAAATTTTTGCGTTATCGATGTGAAGTTACGTTACCGATGTAAAGTTGTTGCGATTGCACAGGGCATCCTGTGCCACAGGAGACGATCCAGATTGATGGTAAGGAGTGCCCCATGATAATTATTATTATTTCAATATTTTAATATGATTGCATAATGCTATATATATATATATATCACAGTTGCCAACAGTTGAAACTTGTATAGCTGGTTTCTTTAATTTCTACCAAATTTTTTTTGTAGGTTATGGAGGGAATGGCGCAACTATGTTCTTCGTGATCTTCTCCATACTAGCCGGTGTCCTCGGCGTGGCATCAAAAATTGTAGGGGCCAGCCATATCGGCGCTTGGAGGACGGACAGTTCAGCTTCAGCAGCAGCAGTAGCAAATGTGGCATGGGCTGTGACCTTGCTAGCATTCGGGTAAGTGTTTGGCTGCATGGAATTGGAGCTTTTGAATTGGAATTTCACCTCCAATTCCATGAAGCCGAACACAACCTACATTCATTCCTTCATCAATAATCCAACAATTAATCCAACCATGGAAATAACTAATTACACCAATGTTTGATAAACTTAATTCAATTTGCAGGTTGGCATGCAAGGAGATACACATAGGAGGGTTCAGAGGGTGGAGGCTAAAGGTCTTAGAAGCATTTATAATAGCCCTAACAGTCACCCAATTCCTCTATCTCTTGCTGCTTCATGGTGGTGTTTTTATTAGCAGTCTTGGTCCGGGGAGAGACGACCACGTTGTGAGAGGGCCGGGTGGAGCCAATGCTTGATGTAGCAGCAGTTTTGAGCTAACTTATATGGAATGGTTTGCACAATATTCAATCTTTGTGCTATGTATGTAACCCTACTACATAAACAATCATTGTGTTGTAAGAGAGAAAATTTACATAGTGTACGTACAAGGCCTTTCTAGGCTCGTTCATATATATACCATCTCAAGGTTTCTTCAAGGTTCTCAAATGGTTGAAAGTTGCCATGTAATGTTTTAGATCAAGTTTGTTTAGTCCATGAACAGCTTATTGTTGTGCCATGGCATGATCAGATTCCAAAATCTTTATTAAAGCCTTCTATGTTCGTTCATATCATCTCATTGAGTGTGTGTTTTTTTTTTTGGAAATATCTCAGGGGCAAAACAGTAATGTTATTCCTCAAGTCAACATGGTCGATTTTCGGAATCGCAGGCCTATATATATATAATATCTTTCCCACGAGAAATTGTACAAAACTCCAGGGTTATTTTGATTTTTGACGGACCCGATTTCCCTCCTCTTTAGTTTCGAGGCATAACAAGAATATTAAAGAATAAAGACATTCTTTAACATATACTGTAGCTTATTTGAATTTATGTTTGACAAAGACTGGCAAAAAATTATCACAAACATCAGAATTCCTTCTCTCCTCTCCTTTTTAATTCATAGCAAAACCTACATCCTCCACATCTAAAAACATTAATTTAACAATTTGAAGCATTAATTATCACAAAATATGCATCTCATTATATATATTTTTTCTTTTTCCGTAAATTATATGCATCTCATTGTCATGCATAATTCACATTCTTCTTCTTCTTCTTCTTCTTCTTATTTATTTATTTGTTGAAGTGCTTTTTATTACAAGTATCATAAGATTTTTCTACTTTGGAGAGATAATGTTTAATTGGTGTAATCGTGCTGCAATGCAGTTTGTTGGGTAGCTGATTAATAATATATATATAATTTTTAAAAATATCTAATTTGAATGTAATTATATAATTAATTATTTATAATATTTAATGTTATATGTTATATATATAAATATTTTTGTCTAAAAGTGTATTAACAAAGCACTTTTTTATAAACAGGGTCAAGTGCAGAAAATACCATACAATATATTTACAATGCATATCACACCCCTCATATGCAAAAAAACACCCTTAAAGTTTCAATTTGGTGCAAATAGGTCCCTATGACAAATTTAAACCCTAAGTTAACTTAAATTACCTTTACTGAATTATTTTACAAAATATATAAAATAAATAATTTTGTAAAATGACCGAAAAGGATACTATTGGAGGACGCTCCTCAAGTGCAAAAACACTCCTAAAGTTTCAATTTGGTACAAATAGGTCATTCTGAAACATTTAAACCCTAAGTTGACTAAATTACCCTTACTGAACCATTTTATAAAATATATAAAAATAAATAATTTTGTAAAATGACCGAAAATGACATTAGTGGAGGACGCCGACAATGAATAAGTAAAGATAAAAATAAAAAATAAAAATAAAAATAAAAGTATAAAAGAAAAGTAAAGGAAAAAGTAGAAAATAAAAAAACGAAAATAAAGTGCAAACTAAAGATAATAAATCTACTCTAAACTCCGAAAACCAGTGCGCTGATATTGGGATTATTTATTTATTTATTTGTTTAACAGTGTAGGTACGTTTTTTTTTTTCAGTAAAAAATAGTAAACTGAAATTTCAAAAATTTCAAATCCTTGTTTTACAAATTCTCAAATTTAAAAAAAAAAAAGATTTAGAAATATATATAGAGAAAAAAGTTTCAAAAAAAATTAAAAATAGTAAGGTAATATATACATAACACCCCTATACTATGAGATTAGTAGCATACATACCCTCTTGGGTTTTTTTGGAAGAGTAAAAGGGCAAAACGGGTATTACAGTACTAATTTATGTATTGAGGGATATTTTTGCAAATTGTGAAAAAATTAAGGGTGTTTTTTGCACATTTTTCAAATACGGGTAAAAATGCTATGTGGAGTATACTTTAGGGTATTTTCTGCATTTGTTCCTTATAAATATCATAATATTTTTGTGTATTTTATGATAATTAATTGTTTAAATTGTTTTATTAATGTTTTAATATGTAGAGGATGTACATTTTGGTATGAATTAAAAAGGAGAGGAGAGAGAAGGAAATTTGTTGTTTTTGACGATTTTTTGCGAGTCTTTGTGAAACATAATTTCAAATAAGAAATCTGTTAAAGGATGCCTTTAATAGCCTTGCTGTGCCTCAAAACGCTACAATAGCGAATCATTTTCGAGCGTGCATGCTGCCAAAGCAACAAAAGATTACTGTTGGTCGCACAGTAATGAATCATTTTTCGGTAAACACACCAATGACCTCAAAATTTTGAATCGCACGTGGAAGTGTTCTTTCTCATGTCTCTGAAATTTCCATCGATGTTGAATGAAGATAGCACTGACTGGCCTTCCTGCACTTTTTGGCGATGCTAGAGATTCGTTTCACGTTGTAAGGCTGAACGCGAATAGGAGCTAGAAGTACTCAAATGCGATTACACCAGACGGGATTGCAACTACGCTAGCGCGTTATCAAGCTCATCGAGCCGAGCTCGAACTGATTGAAATATAGTCGAGCCAAGTTCAATCATAATTAGCTTAGGCTCGATGAGCTCGAGCCGAGTTTAGCATATCGATCTATTTATTTGTTGAGCCGAGCCTGAATACTGTAATACATGGCTCGGCTTGATTATAATCCGACATAAAATTTCTACTAGAGTTAAATAATCTCGTAAACTAAAAAAGGTTATCAAGTTACTCCCATATTCGCGACTGACCGTTAACTTAGTTGTGAAATGACAAATTTGACCTTACTATTTAATGTTAAATTAAAATGCTGATAGTAATATATTAAGATTATTTTTGTTATTTTAAAATAACAATGTTAATTTTGTAATTTAACATTAAATAACAATTTTAAACAATTTTGAAGTTTAACATTATTTAATGGTCCTTTATTATTTTTGCAATTTTAAAATAAGATTTTTCAGCATTTTAAATTAACATTAAATAACAAGGTCAAATTATTATTATTATTATTATTATTATTATTTTTTTTTCTTCCTAATTGGTACTTACACATACATGCCTCCACTGAGGCTCGAACCCCTGACCCCCCTTTGGGAAGTAGGAGCTTGATACCGCTTGGCCATTGGCCTGTTGGTAACAAGGTCAATTTTTTCATTTCACAACCAAGTTAACGGGATAGGGTCACGGATATGGGGGTAACTTGATAATTTGTTTTAGTTTAGAGAATTTTAAAAAAAAATTTATTAAGAGTTTTATGCGCAATTTTAAAAGTAAAGGGGGATTTTGTAATTTTAATCCTTAAAAAAAATTTATTTTAACAATTAATTTAAAAAAAAAATTATTCTCACGTTTAATTCTCATAGATTTGTGTGATATAGCATTTTTCTATAGCAGAATGTAATAATAATAAAGGATAAATTATTAAATAATGGATCATAGGGCATTCTGTACATTCAAATTTTTTTATAAGTCATGATATTCAGACCAATTAATTAAATTTATTTATCAAAGTAAAATAATTAAGATCATTGATGATTTGAAGTAAAAACCTTAATTATGTCACTTTTACACATAAATTTTATGTTTGAATATCATTTTTCTTATTGTAATATCATTTTAAATATTTTTGGATTCTTTCCGAGAATTTTGACTAGTGTTGTCACATGGTCCAAAGATTATCTAATTCTCATTAAGTTGTGGTACTCATAAAGTCATAAGAGGCTAATTAAATATTTAAAAAAATAAAAATAAAACCGAATCTTAATTGAACTGAATCTTTTGCCTAATCTAATAGTATCTCAATAGGTGGAGAGATAAAGACTAAAACCCGTGTATTGACTCATTGACCCCGTCAAAAAGGTTCGCCTTTAAGCAATACAGGATATGGTCAAAGTAAGAGAGAGTACTTGCTTGAACAGGAGATTCAATAAACTTAATGCCAAGTGCAAATTAAAGTACAAAGAACATTAATTTATTCTATCTCTTGGGAGCTTTTTTCTGCTTTTCTCGCAACTGATATGGTCAAACTACAGAACACTTAGCTGGATCAGTAGTGCCAAACAGCACAAAAACAAGCTTGTGTTCTAAAGTTTTCACAGAGGAATAGGGATATGGCATACTGCACTACCTAACTTGATCGACTTTGAATAGGGCACTGAGACGAGCGCCTAGTCAATACGCAATCCACGTGAGTTAGATCAGCATCAACATGGATGGGCTATGAGAACGAGCTTGACGTAACCATAAAATTGTTTGATTTTGACTTGAAGATCACCCGGTTGAAATAACCTCCTTATATGTAATATTGTATTTTACTTACCCACATTGCCCTTAATCCATTAGATGAGGCGAACATCCGAGTTACCCTAATAAAAATTATGTTAAAAATTAATTAAGCCAATATCCTTGACGTCATGATGACATCAGCCCATACTCATATATATTAATCGAATTTGTCCAATTTTTGATAATTCTATATCATTACTCTTTTGTTAAATGCCAATCATAATTAAAATTCGATACCAAAACTCAACAACAACATTTCAACTAAAATATATATTCAAGGAACAAAAGAATATACAGTGACTATAATAAATTAGTCTCATGAACTGGAAGAGTTTACTGTATGTCAAAATAGTTAAACGAAAGGGATGGGCAGAAGAACATTTCTCTCCAATATTTTGATCTTAATTTGTGTAATTCAATTTGCTTTTTACCTGCCTTGATTGGTACGGCCAACCCCTTGAGATTTCAAGTCAAAAACTTTAATTAGTCCAGAACATGTTCGATGTTCAGCACTGAGAACTTTTCTATGAGATTATTCAGTCCAATTATATACCTACCTAGACAATGAATCAACCGCCCTCGGTGTTAGGCTTCATTTTGGAACCCTACAATTGGTCCAAAATGCCAACCATGGGACCTCACAAGGCACCACGACATTATATATGCTGCAGAAACTTTGACGATTCTAGTGAAACTTTTCAAAAAGTGTGTCATTTATAATTACAA